ATGTCTTTAGCGTTTCGTTTAGCTGTTATTGAGCCCATCAGATTTTCTTTATTCGATTGGATTGCCACCTGAGCGTAATTAAGCCATGAATGCGTTCTGTTTTTTTATTGACTTCGAGCCTTCTGCTTTGTTTCATTCCAGTGCTTTCTGGTAACCTGACAAGGCTGATACAATTACATACACGTCAGCTAGTTTTTGGAACTAAGGCCTGGTTGAATTGAGTTTTATTTGGTTTTTTAGAATTATATCCAGAGCTTTTAGGAGCATTCGATTTATTGCATTGTTAGTGGACAATTAGGTGAGATTATGTTGTTTGTTAACAACAACTTGCACTCTGCTCACAGTGAAGGGGGGTTCTTCAATGCCACCATGAGCTTTCCACAGAATTATCCAGTGAGTCCTCCAACTGTCAGGTTTACCTCAGAGGTGTGGCATCCGAATGGTGGGTGCTCTTTCTTTTTTCATACTTGTGTGTGCGCAATTTCCTGCATCCATGCACATTGAAATCCAAAACTACTAAAGCGTTGCTGTCTCCGAACTACAGTTTATGCCAATGGAAAAGTTTGCATATCAATTCTTCACCCACCTGGTGATGACCCAAATGGCTATGAGCTTGCTACTGAGCGCTGGAGTCCAGTTCATACAGTATGTGGTTTGATGTTTTACAGTTACTGCATCAATTGTATTCCTTGCAGTTTTTATAAATACAATGCTTATTTTTTTCATGCCTTTTCTTTATCCTTTTACCCATAGGGTGGAAGTTCAGTTCATAATTGTTTTTTTCCCCCTTAGTTTGTGTTGAATGTGAACACTAAGAGCTGTGTAGAGGAGATGTCCTTTTGTATTCATGATATTCATGAGATAAGCTGTTCTCCACTCCCTTGGAAGGCTTCCATTGTCTGGACAAGCAATTTATAACTTACTGTTCTCAATGATGAATGCCGGAGGAAACATGGATATAGAAAATTGGAGCTCTTTGCACTTTTGCATGATTTTGATTTGTGGCATGACCATGTGATAGTGGTTTGCATTGGAGATGCATCTCAGAAATCAGCATCTATAAGAACAGAAAATTGAGATGACTGCTAGACTTAAAAGCAGCTCAGCTATGAGGGGCTATATTCTAGCTAAGATTATGTGCTTGTATTTTTGGCATGGGACACCTATAGGTTACACAAGAGGTTGCTCTGGCTGGGGTTGCTTAATTTTTTTTAGCCTATGGAACATGGGACACTGGATTGGCTGATTTAGGAAAGATCAAATATAATAATTTGAGTTTAAAAGGTCATGCGAGTAGAGGTCAGTTAGGCTGGGGTTGCTTAGTATTGGTTAGCCTATCGAACATGCGACACTGGAGTGGCTGATTTAGGAAAGATTAAAATTTGTAATTTGAGTTTAAAAGATCATGTAGGTGATGGGGGGTTTTAAATATTGTGACTCAAAGTTTACTTTCTCCATTCTTCACTCTTGGGAGAAGCCAGCAAAGGTGGTAGTATCATTAAACAATATGGCTGGTGATTTAAACTCTAGCAGAGTGGGGGAATCATTTTGTCTTCATCGATAGTGAATACAACTTGTTAACATTATGAGAACTTTTGTTGAAAAGATTTAACATATTTCACTTGCAAAAGGAAAATATCAACTGATGTATTCTGAATGCAAAGAACTAGAGGCACAACATGTAATTATATTGAGTTGATTGCCAAATAGCTCCATGTGTTTCACCTTACAACTCAGCACTGCATAACACAGTTCAGAGGCCAGATTGCCTCTAATTACTCTACTTGGTGTTGAGCCTTATTTTTTGTTTGGTTGAGAGTTTATCTTCTTTTTTTCTCTTAACCTGTTGTATTTACTGTCCTGGTTTGTGCAGGTTGAGAGCATTGTTTTAAGCATCATATCAATGCTTTCTAGTCCAAACGACGAATCTCCTGCAAATGTTGATGCTGCGGTATGTGTATAATTATTTATATCATTTATTTTATCATAAACATGAACATGTAACTATTATTCATGCCGTGGTATGTGTATAATCTTTTATATCATTTATTTTGTCATAAACATAAAAATGCAACTATTATTCATACCATATTTTTTTTACTGGGAAAATTTTAAGTTTGAAATAAACGCAAAAATATATGTTTTCACAAGAAGATTTTTCAAAATCACCTGTACATTCCAGTTTATTATTGTTGCCATGCATAATCAGTTTGATACATTTTTGGAATTATGCTTCATTTTGTTGTAATTAGCACACTTTATCTGCATTATTACACATCTTATCGTATTCTGTATCAGCAACAGCAATATGGGCAGCATTTTATTGTTTGTTGAGCGTATATAAGGATCGTACTATAGTTTTTTTCCGAGTAATTCTGTTCATTGCTCTGCAGCATTTTAACATTTTCTTGATTGAACACCTTCAGAAACAATGGAGAGAGAATAGAGACGAGTTCAAGAAGAAAGTAAGCCGATGCGTGAGAAAGTCACAAGAAATGATGTGACCCAGTGTTGCTGCGGTGCTTATGGTGTCTGTAGTCAAGAGAAGCAGCAATGAACTTTGTAGAATTCCTTACACCTTTTGTTTTCAATCCATTATAACCTTAGCTCTTTGTGCACGTGTTTTGAGTGACAATTATCAGTCTTAGATATTAATATTTTGGTTTGATTTTCGTGATCTTGAAATCAACTAAAATTACGTATTTGCCTTTCCATTTGTTCAACCACTCTTCTAAATGATTTTCTTTTACATTAAAACTCGAAAAACATAAAAAAACATAAAAGAATATCAATTTAATATTTTGTTTCTCACGTCAAAATGATCTCTTTTCCAGATTTATTTATTTATTTATGTTATTTACACTTTAAAACTATAAAAAAATTATCAATTTAATATTTTTTCAATATTTTTAAAAATCATTTGAAAATAAAAATTACCTAAATCCACGGTTGTATTATTTGGTAAATCTCAAGATACCTGATTTTAATTTTTTGAAGTGTGAATTCACGTTTGAATGCTGATTTCTTGATATATATATATATATATATGCATTCAATCCAGGCAGTAGAAAACACAACATTTAAGTCAATAGAAGAAGCAGAGCAAGAAAT